GTGAGCCCAGCCAGGTGGAGCACTGTGTGTGCCTTGTCTAGTAACCCTGAGACATGTGAAATGATTTTCTTTGGGCAAGCTGTCCCAATAAGATCATCCTTTCTTATTAGTATGTGAAGGAACTCCTGTGATGGAGCTTCTGCCACACACCTTATACTTACCTGCTTTCTGTACATACTTAATTGGCCTAGGAATTTGTCTCCTGGGTATAGCACTGTTGCAGACATAAGGAAGCATTGACTTTAGATATAACTACTTAAATACATAAATTAAATATTTAAAAATAAAAGTGTATAACTATAACCATATATAAAGTTATGTATCATCAAGGACATGTATGTACCACTGCATATAGCACTGCAGTTAGTTTCTGTGGAAATCACATGGTCTTGGGGTAGTCCCTTTCACTTCAGCACACTGTGATTTACCTGGGCATCTTGTCAGGAAAAAACAACAGGGTCATCTTCCCTTGCATATTGCCTGGGGAAGCAATTCTATCCTGGACTGCCCTGTCACTATGTGGAAATTCTTGATCTAGAGTAGATACAGGGGTAAGGAAGGAAAAACTCTTAGGAAAATATAGACATATCCCATGGATGTTCTGTATGATTGACAGATCAAGCTGGACACAAAGAAAAGTCTGAGGTAAATTTCTGAGCAGTGCAATATCAATTATCTTGATATCAAATATCTCAAGAGAGCCAAAGCTTACTTCTAGCATGAGGAAAATCTCTTTTGTTTATGCCATTTTGATATTTGCATAATACACACAGTTTGCTCAGGATAGTGAGGATGCAAATCTCATTTTACATTATGAATATCCTTATGGTTTTCTCATTTTATGCTGCTATTCTGCCTCAGAGGCAACAGATCAGAGCCACCCAAAGCCTTACAAACTGCCTGGTGACACAGAGGCTCTGCTGGAGGGCAGTCTGATTTCTAACCAAACTGTTGCCTTGGGAGCAAAAATCTGCAAAGAAATCCACAACACTCTACTACCACAATGCAAATACCCTTTCCTATCACACCAGCAACACTGAGCCATACTCCCCAGCTACATATACTCACTGCTTCCCATTAGCACCCCAAAGAGCCACAAGAACTTCTATCCAAAGGGATCATAAAGGGTAACAATCTGTTGTGTACAGACAGCAGTGTTCAGCCAGTCCAACTCAATACAACACAACGATGCCTTGCTGGAGCACTTCAGCTGCACAGACAATAAACTGGGGGAAACAGCTCCACTCTCTGCCAACACACAGAAATTCTGGAGTTTTACCAATGGCTGGAAATGGCAAAAGAAGCACAGAAAAATGCAACAGTATCATTGGCTGGAGATCATATTCTGAGGATGAGCTGGGAAACAAAAAGGGGAAAAGGCAAACTGCACATAGTAACAGAAAATGTAAAGATATTATTCTATATAAAGCAAAAAGAAAAAAAAATCCACTTCAGAACAGAGTACCATTTGGTAAGAACAGTCAGGAAGGCTACAGAATCACAGAATGGAAAGGCTGGAAGGGACCACAGTGGGTCCTCTGGTCCAACTTCAAGCAGGGTTGTCCTAGAGCATAGTGCATAAGATTGCACTCAGATGGTTCTTGAATATCTCCAGTAAGGGAGACTCCACAATCTCTCTGGGCAACAGCAGGAAGAGAAATTACTGAGGTCTGAGAAACCTGCCCTTTGGTAAAACTGTTCTTGGGCTTTCTTTTTGTGAAAGAAATCTTAAAATTTTGGTGCCCAGGAGACTGCCCTTGGGCACCAAACCCAGCAAAGCTGAAGTCACCAAGAGTGCTGCTTGGGTGAATTTAACAAGCTGATTCTAGTAGCATCCTGCCCAGAACTTGCATCCTTTCATTAAAATCACTTTGATGGGTACTTGAAAGCAAAGCTCCCATTCCTCCAATGCATCATTATATTTTCTGTGCCAAGCATTGCAAATTCAATTTTCTTGATAAATTCAGAAACCTTGCTCCAACAGCCATAAGAAAGCTGGTGTATTTTACTGCAGTCCATCTCCTGTCTCCTTGTCTACCAACAGTTTAAGTATGTCATTTCAAAGGCTGCAGCTTGACAACATTTTAAAATACAAACTTGTCATCTGCCAACATCAAAGGAGGGAATCCCTATATCCATCTTAACAAAGACAGCAGACATAGAATCAGGAAGTGAAGGAAGATTCAGTGCATGAATAAGACCTTCTGTTTCATCTGACTGTCCTGTGAATTGCATCCTGCTGCCTGCATCTCTAGAAACAACCCTTGCATGTAATGAGGAAGGGCTGTAGACATTCATCACCGGTAAATATGGAAGAGAAGTGAAGATGAGTTGCACAGAGACCTAGTGGAATTGAATCAAGTCCCTCCAGAAATTATTTTTGCCTGTCTTAAATGAAAGGGTAGCAGATAAGGCTGGAGAGCATCTGGCTGCCACTACCTGACTCAGAAGCCACAATGACCCTGGTTGTGCCATGGCTACTCCTCTGTCTCCTCTGAATTCCTCATCCAGAAGAAGATGGCATGTCCCTCAAAAGGATGATGTCTGCTACAGCCTTCTGGGTCTAGCCCAGGGATAGGGAGAGCCAAATTTAGTAGCTGTGAATGTGCTTGGGTACATCCTTTCCTTTCATTAACACAGATTCTTTGGATGAAAAAGTTCCTTTTGCTCTCTATCAATGCTGCTTTGCTTTTCCCATGCCTCTATTCTAGGGCCACTCCTAGTCTGGCCAATGGAACAAATGAACTAGCTGTACCTACTTGGTACATGCAATTAAAAGCCATGTAGCTGAGTCTCTCAGGTGATTTTAAAATGCTCAGTGAACACTCTCCTGGATACCTCTTACATCAGTGTGCATCACCCAGGGCTTGTGAAGTGTCTTGCAATGGGCAATGCGACAGAAAACTTGACAGAAAACTTGAAAGCAAACTTGACAGTGAGCTGTGCTACACAGCACAAGTGTCACCATCCTGATTTCTGCACGGTGCTCTGTGCCCAACAGGAGCTGCTTTTCATTACTATGTGAGCACCTGAAAAACAAAGTCACTAAACTGACTCCTGGTTCAAAGAGACTGGATTTTCTATTGCATACAGACATAAAAGCAGCACAGCAGTCATCTCTTGCACTCTGGGGGCTGGAAGCATAGGGCACTGCATACAGATTTGCTCCTAGGTGCAAAGTACAAACTATATATTCAGATCATAGCTCCAGGAGTCACAAAGAAATTGATATTTGGGTCTACTCCTTCAAATATCCCCTGGGGTGGTATTTGCATACTTTGGCTTTTAACATAGTGCTAAAGCTTAGGTACCCTTTGCATACTCTAGTTTACACAGCTGATTATAACAAAATTATTCCCAGTTTGCATTTATTTAAAGAAGAGAAAGAAGGCCTTGACAGAGATATATGAAACAGCCTTTGCCTGATCCTTTTATTATGGTGACTCCAGAATGATCTTGCTGTGCTCAGTGCAGCAGAGTTATCTGAGCTAGAGACAGTCTCCAAACTGCAGTTCTTTCCAGTAGAAGCATTTAAAAGCTTCCCTCCTCCACCATCATTCTGTCTTAATAAAAGCCCTATGGGATTAGTTTCACTCAAACAGAGTTTTTGACAAGATTATAGGCGGCTGTTAAAGGTCCTTGACAATGGGAGGACAAATCTCTGATTTTATTGAACTTAATGGTAAAATTCTCTGACTTCAATGGGGCCACTATTCACCCAAAAAAAGTAGCAAACCCTCATTATAGCAGCTGATTTATTAATGACAAAATTTCACTTTCCTGATGCTCCAAATACTCACACTACTATCTGAATATTAATCAACTAACAAAATGCTACTGCATACCTTCACTATCCAAAAAAAAAGTTAGGTCTACAAATTATTTAGTCTATCACCTATAATTGTACATGAAAGCTTTATCAAAGCTTCATTATGTACAGCCTTTAAGAACATAAAGTAATTACTGTAGTTCTGTTTCAAGAAAATTTAGACACATAAGTGAATCTCCATCTAAGAAAAGCACAACAATTCAAGCAGCAAGACTTGTTCACTCCAGAAAAGTCACCTTCACATTTCCACTGGGGTATTAAGGCTGACAGTGCTTTCAAGAGACTGCTCCTTTTTAACAAGGAAACGAAGGAGGTGTTAGAGTCAAGGATGTGACAAGGAAATAAATGCAGATATCTGGGGGCCAGACATTCACAGTGAGTGTGCTCCAAGGACAGGTGGGAGACACAAGGCACCCTGTCCTGCATGACCCTGATTTAGGGTGCTGCAGGGACCCCCAACTGTTCCTGGGATATCCCTCAATGCACAGAACATCTGATCCTACTTGTGGGAAAAGAGCAGGTGGAGGGAGCAAAGCTATCATCTCTCTGCTACCCTGGAAGTGCAGACAATGTTTTCTGGAGTATTATCTGCAGCTGCCAGGCAGGAGGAGAGGGCAGTCACCTGCCCGGGGAGCCCAGAGCCAGCCACAGAAACTTGCTGTTTCTTATCAGCTACTAGCTTTAGTATGTAAACAAATTAAACCAGAGAGCTTTAGAAGGACAGGGGAGCAGAAAGGCAGAGTCACCAGTGGCTTTTGGGAGACGTTAATTCAAGATAAGTGTTGAATAACAAGTCCTGCTGCTGAAAGGGACACAAGAACACTTTTGTTGGCACTGATGTACTGCAGCCAGAGAGATATGAAGCTTTTCTGCCTGTTTGCCCTAATCCCCAAACCAGCTCCATCTTCTCAGTTGTTTATTTCTGTGCACTGCCCTCACCCCTGATTAAAGGGAGCATTTTAATGCTGTGCTTTGGCCCCATCTGTGCTGACAATCAGCACCCACTACAGGGCTCAGGTGAGCCCA